CAAAAAAAACCCAACAACAACAACAAAAAAAAACAAAACAAGACAAAAACAAAAAAAAAAGAAAGAAAAAAGAAAGGAAAGAAAAAATGAAAAGAAAGAAAAAAAATGAAAAGAAAGAAAGAAAAAAGAAAAAAATAGAAAAGGAAACCCCGTGCTCGTCCCCTTCCTCCGACGGTCCAGTGCGGCGGCGCTGTCCGTCCTGGGGCTGTCTGTCCCTCTCAGCTCTGCGCCCGGCCCGGGCAGGGCACGTGCTCACAGCCCTGGCTTGATTTATTTTTTTAAGGGGGGAGGGTAGTTTTATTTTGGTGGGGTTGGGCGGGAAGGAAGGCTGAGGGTTTTGTAAAGTGTCCACTACTCGTCTTGTTCATTTCCTCCATTTTTCTTCCTCCCTCTATCCCTCCTGCCTTCCTTCTCTTCCCAAGCCCTCCGGCCCCCATCCCAGGCTTGCTGTGTCTCTCTGTCCCCTCCCTCCCTCTCCACTTCTTTTTTTGTGTGTCTGGTTTCTCCCTTTCCTACCTTTGGGTTTCCAGAGTCGATGGGAGAAGGGCGGGCGGGTGGGCCCAGTGGCCCAGTGGGAGGGGAGCAGGGGCGGGGCGGGGCAGTGGGGTGGCCCCCCCAAGCGCCCCCGACTCTGCCCACCAGGAGGAGGCGCTGGCCTGGTGCCGCCCAGGGAAGGGGCTCGGGGCCTGGAAAGGCCTGTTCTGTTGTGTGCCGCCGGGCGATGTGCATTGATGGGGAAGCTGCTGGAGGAGCAGGGGTGGGGGGGGCGGGAGGGAGGGGAAAGGCAAATGCAGATATATATTAAAGACAAATTATCTAGATACCGCGAGCAGCAGCCTGTGGCACCCGTTGGGCGCGGGCATCAGGGAAGAGAGAGAGCTGGGCGTTGCCCGCTGACTGCTGGGGTCACTTCTCTGCCCACGGGCTCCCTGCTCCCCCAGTTTTTTTTCTCTCTTTGTTAACAAATGTGTCTGAGTCTTGGAAAACACCCCAACCCCGGAAATGTGTGGGAAAAGAAAACAAAAACTTTCCAAATCCAACGGTCCTGTGCAGTTTTTTGGGGGATGGGTAATGTTGGGACATCAGTCCTGTCTCTGTTCTGGGGTTTGGGTACAAACTGGCCAGTGAGAGCTGGTAAGTAGCCTCCAGAGTTTGGGGCTGAGCACGGTTTTGGGTTCCTCGGGGCGGCCTGTCTTTGTCTCACCCTCATGTCCCTCCTGGCCTGAGGATGGGGCTGCGGACCAGCTGGTGGGTGGCCTGGGACAGCCCACCCACCTGAGACCTCAGGACAAATCCCCTGAGGCAAGAGCGTCATGTTGCCCCCTAGTGGTTAAAGTGTGTCTATGCTGCTTGTGCGTGGGTCTTGCAAGAGCCCTGGGATTTCTAAAGCCCTTGGGGAACCTGGTATTATTCCCGGGTGACAAGAGCTTCAGTGGCTGAGTCCGCATTGACCGCCCCCCCCCCCAGTTCTGCCTAACTCCAGAGTCTCTGCTTTTTCTGCATCTCTAAGGATTTGGACCTTATAATCTGTAGCCCCCCCCCCCCCACCCCCCCCCACCCCGCCTCCAGTCCGTGCTGGCTGACTATGGGTAGGTCCTGGGGCTCCAGAACCTCCCCGCCAGGTGTTTGCTCCTTCCTGGAGACACTAAACAGGGCCAAGGTCCCAAACACGCTGCGAGGCCGGTCTGTATTTGCTAAGCTTGGTGGCAAGGAGTAGAAACTTACGGCGAGGGCTGTACGTACCTGAGGCCCTGGGCCTGTGGGCATTCTCTGGGGAGCAGAGTGTGGGAAGTCTTCATCTCCCACATGGCAGTGGTAGATGGCCACGCCACTGGACACATGAGCTGTGACTCAGCCCTGCTTCTGCCGCTTGGGTCTCCCCCACTTTGTGCTGGGGGATCTTGCTTCCCTCTCATGGCTCTGCTTTCTCGTGCCTTTGGCTTGCCATCACCCTTCTCCCCTCGGATCTGCATCTTGAGCTTCCAACCACAGGTAGCTCTGTCGCTGGCCAGTTCCTTCCTGCAGCTTCCAGCTCACAAGTCTGGCCCATGTTTAGGCGTGGATCCCTCTCAGGGTTCTTGGGCTTGATGTCCACAGGAGCTGGGGCTCCCCCGCCCCAGCTCCCCCGCCTGCCTTCCATCCTGGAATGAAGCTTGTTTGAGGATCCTCCTTAACCTGGGGTATTTCCCCAGGGACCTTTGAGAGCTCTTCCCTGGACTCTTGTCACTGGCCAGAGAGTGAGCTCTCCTGCAGCCACCCCCAGGTGTGGATTTCCATAGACTTTGCCTCTCCTTGCCCTTCTGAACCAACCACCTGGGGGAGGCATGGGCTCTGCTCGCCCCCCACTGCTGGCAGTCTTGGAACCTGAGGTCAGCTCTAACCTCCCCACCCCGTGGAAGCCAGGGGGAGGCCCTGACTCAGGGCAGTCTTGCCGGGACATCCTGTCCCTGTGCCAGGGACGACCTTGTGCCCGGGTCTTTGACGGCTGCTCTCTCTGACCAAGGGACGGAAACATCTCAGTATCCTCTGCCCCATCACCGCTAGCCAAAGAAAACAAATAGAAACTGGCAGGAGTTCCATGGTGCCAAGAAGGGAACATTCTTTTCCAGAAATTTCTAGAATTGTCCTAAACAGTGTATCAGAGTAAGGGACCGGAAAGAGGGACAGTGCAGGAGTTAGAAGAACAGGTCCCAGTCCTGCTCACTGCCATGTGGCTGTAGGACTGGGTGTTTTCCTCTCTGTGTTGGGAGGCTAAGAGCTCCTGTCACTTGAGGGCTTGGTTGTAAGAGGAGAGATTTCTGGACTCTACCATGGACTCAGTTTATCCGTCTGTGAGATATGGTCTCCTCAGTCTCAGCTCCTTTGTCTGGGCATCTGATGTTGAACTTAACACTGGGCCTGAGCTGAGCTTCTTGGGGTCTGGCGGGCCTGGCAGTGACCCCCAGGAGTGTGCAAACAGCATCTGGGGGTGACTGGAATTCCAGGAACCTCGCTTTTGGACACGTGGTACTTGCAAGGATATGTCAGGAGAGTCCACTTGGGGAGGATCAAGGACAGAGATGGGGAGGAAGCTCCAAGTGGGGTCTAGCTGATGCCTTGACCTTGAAGACCACACAGCCCCCCAGGGGAAGGAACACAAGCTCAGCCAGGGCTGGAACCCAGGCTGTACGTGTACAGCCCTTGCCATTCTGGGAAGACATCCCTTTCCTGGATCCCTTTTGTATCTGGAGCCGAAGGAGCCTACATTGCGCTCCCCACACCCCCTTTTGGGAGAGCTGCAGGCCTGGCTGGAGATAGGAGAATGGCCGGAGAGGGTCCTGAGCCACTGTCCTGTCCCCAGTGCCTGAGGCCTCTACTGCCATGGGGGTAATGAGCCTGTGGGGGTAGTTGATGGGTTCTTCTTTCCCACACCCAATTCCCATGGCTCTCCCATTGCAGGGTGCCGCTGCTGCCTCTGCGCTGGGGAGCTACCTGTGGGAGCATCAAAAGAGAGGGTGTGGCCCAAAGCCTTCTTTTGTGTGATGGTGTCCAGCTGGAAAGTGGGCCTGTGACCACTGCCAGGAGAGTCCCCTCTCCCTTGGCAAGGCACCCACTCCACCATAGTGATGACACCCCCTAGCTGCCCTGGAACCTCCCAGCTTCCGGGTCCTGTTGAGTTCAGTGAGGGGAGGTCTTGTTGGAAGCAGGTAGGTCCTGGGTTCTAGAAGACTAGGACCCCCCGGAAGGGCCAGGAACAAGTCTGCTCTGAATGTGGGCAGAGGGATAGCTCCGACCACTTGGTGAACCAGAGAACACTCCGGGGGAGAGGGGGACCTATCTCTCACCAGCCCTGTGTTCTCTCTTCTGGAAGCTTCTGGACACCAGGGGGCCCCAAGAATGCCGAGCAAGGCTAAGGAAGTAGCTGGGGCTCAGCTGGGCAGCAGGCGGACAGGACCAAAAGTTCCAGGCAGGCTGAGACAAACCTTCCTTTGGGCAGCTTTACAAACGTGATCCCCACTGCCCTTGTCCTGGGGTTCTGCACTGAGGGGCAGCCTGTGATGGCTGAAAGACATGATCCCACTCTCTCTTCCCCAGAGAGGCAAGGAGCAGCTTTCTGTTTTTCTGCTCATCTGCGTGTACGAGCACAAGTGTTCCCATCGCTGGTGTGTGTGTGTGTGTGTGTGTGTGTGTGTGTGTACGTGTGTGTCAGGGCACAGCCCTTTGTGGAGCTGCCCAGAAACAGTGACCGAGGCAGAAGCAGAGGTCACCTGAGCACAGCTCTGGGGTGGTGGGGACCCCGATGGGTCACAGATGGCTTCCGCCTGCACCCACGTTTGTGTTTGGGGAGCTCGGGCATCCACCCCCTTCCATCTGAGCCCTTGTCTGGGGTTTTCCTGTAAGGGGTGTCAGGGGACTCCACGGGGCCCTGGCTGGTTCTGAGAGCGAGGTGTCAGCCTCAAGAGGCTTCACTGGTTGCCCGGTTGTACAGTCTGAGGCCGGAGGGGAAGGGGATGTTGTAGCCAGGGCTCTGGAGACTGGGGCTGGGCTCTTGACTCTCTGCTCCCAGCTGTAGGTCGCAGGCAGTCACTTTCTCTGAGCCTACTTTCCCGTCTGTAAAGTGGGCTGTCTTCCTTGAAGGGTTTGGGAAAAGACAAGACGATGCCTTGAGGTACCAGGGGGATGCCCAGCGCACAGCAGGCTAGAAAGGGCCGACGCTCTGGCCTGGGAAAGGGCGGCCCCTCGAGGATCTCCCCAGAACTCTCCGCCGTCCCCACCATCCCCACCCCCGCCCGGAACCCACAGCTCATCCCTGGAGTCAGCTGGGGGCTGTCATTTGTTCCTTTACTCCCTCTTTTGTCTCCCTCGCACCAGTGGGCCTCCTGCCAGGCTCTGTGTGGGAGCTGGGGTCAAGGGGTAAGTGGGCCACCCCAGCCCTCTGGGAACGTTGAGGCTGGCCGGGTGGGACTCTGGTGCAGGGCCACGACTGTGAGTAAGGGTTTCACTATGGCCTTGGTCTGGGCCCCCAGATGGAGGCCATTGCCATGGGTCTGGGAGGGACTCGGTCAGGTAGAGAAGGGGTGGGGAGGATTGGCTCTGTGACTGCAGTGTGGAGAGGGGGGACTGGAGGCCAGAACTGTCTTTTGGAAACCGCTGAGGATCTGAGACTTGTGCGGGGCTCTGGGACCAGTGTGAGGAGCTGGGGAAGTTTTGACCTTGGGTGATGGTGCCCTCCGAGCTTGGAGGGGGGGCCATGGGCAGCTGGGGGCTGTGAGCAGTGGAGAGGGGAGCGGGGGGTGACAGCTTCCCAGGGTCCCTGCTCCTTCTCGCAGTCACAAGGGAGAGTCCTGTGAGGGTGCATAGGGCAGCCGGCAGCCAGAAGCCATCCTCTTGGGCTTTCTCTGTTGAAGGTGGCTCCTCAGGTAGAGAGGGGCCGCCCCTAGGTCCTCTTCTAGAGATGGGGGACTTTTGCCGTCCTGCCTTCTCCAAAGGACAGAAGTGCCCCTTCCCGTGTCACTTTGCAGAATTCCCGGGAGGCTTAAAAGTGTGTGGATTTCAGGACAGTGGGTTCTGGAGCGCTGTGCATCGCCTTCTTTACCGCCCTGTTCAGACACGTAAGACAAGAGGCTTTTGTCTCCTGGGTGCAGTGTGACCTCTGAGCCCTGCACTGTGGCCCTCCTGAGGACTGGGGCAGGACTCCTGCCCTGCTCTCCCGAGCCCAGGAAGGAGCTCCCTGAGAGCGTCCTGGGGAGGCGGTGACGGTGACAGCCCTGCCAGCCATCCAGGGGTTTCATCGGGAGAGTCTGGGGCCTATGAGGCCACCCAACAACTCCCATCGCACCCTTGGCCCTCCCCCTTTCGAAGGACTACACACATCCTTCCCCTTGACCTCTTGTAAGGTGGAGCGGAGGGCGGGCCAGCTATCAGGGCCTCAGGTGGTAGCATGAAGGACAGGAGACCGAGTCCACACTGTAAGCCAGGAGACCCAGCCTTTGCCCTCCCCCCTCCCACAGATGTAAGATGTGACTGAGCCAGATTTCTGTGCCCTGGCTTCTCCCTCTGCTCAGGGGAGGGGCTGGGGGGCAGGGCTGCCCCATTCTGGGCTTCCCTGGGGGTACAAAGAAGGTGGCCCCGGGTGGAGTTCACTCACTGGTTCTGCACATCTTGAATGGTGTCGGGCAGTGGCAGGCTGTGGGTCTCCGGGAGCAGGAGAGCAGCCAGGCCGCCGAGCACTGGCACCCCGCCGTATACCAGCAGGGGCAGTGAGCGCCCGTGGATGGCCAGCAGCCGGACCAAAGGCCCCAGGATCGCTCCCCCACGGGCTGCCATCTGGCCCAGACCCACAGCAGTCATCCTGTCATCGCAGACACACCGGTGAGGCCCCCCCCCCGTCCAGGGTGGCCCAGGGATCCAGGCTGAGCCGGGACGCACCTGGGCGGCCCTGAGACCACGTGGAAGGGAGATGGCCATGGGAACGGCCAAGGCTGGGGAAGGCTGTCCCCACCATGCCCTCCCAGCCCCGGGTGCCCCCTTACCTGAGGACGGTGGGGAAGAGCTCCCCGGTGTAGATGCTGACGCAAGTGAAAGCAGCCCCCACGCTCCCAAGCCCCAGCACGGCCAGGGCTGAACGCAGGGTCCCCATCTCTGTGGACAGAGATGGGCTTAAGCAAAGCTGGTGGTAGGGGCCCCGAGGTCAGATGGGGGCTCTCTCCAGCCCAGGCCCCTCTCAGACCCCCCAATGTCTGTGACTCAGCTCTACCTGGGTGTCCCCAGAGCATGTTCCGAGTGATCTCATGGCTACATTCACTGTCACCAAACCGCCACCCACCCTGACACCCGGAGCCAGACCCCGGGAACACTCCTGGACCCCCTGCTCCCCACCTTCCCCCTGCACTTGGGCTCTGAGCCATCTCTCCCGGAGGCCCTGGCAGCCTCCTTCCTAACTGGGCCCCCGCTCTGGTCCAGTGCCCTCTGTTCCTGGCTCAGCGCCCCCAGGTCGGGAAGCCTCACGCCCCTGCCATGCTCACTGAGGGGCACGAGCGTGTTGGCCAAGATGCAGAGTCCTGACAGCACCAGGGACCCGGCCTGGGTGGGCCGGCGGCCCAGACGGTTCAGCAGCAGCAGGGTGACTATCTTGGCCGGGATGTCCACGACCCCGATGAGGACCTGGAGCAGGAAGATGTTGCTACCCAGAGCCTGCAGATCCAGGGCCAGGCCGTAGAAGGTGAAGCCAAAGGCGAACCTGCGGTGGGGGCCGGTCGCATCAGGCTGGGGGAGAGCTTCCCAACGGCTCGTGTGTTCCCAGACCCGTTTCCACCCTCCTCCTGCAGGCCCCGTGTAGCGGTGGGGTGGCCTCTGTAGACCACCTTTCCCTGGGCCTCTCTGTGAGGTTCGGCCAATGGGGAGCCCTGATGGGAGGCACAGGTGCACCGGCCAGGGAAGCCTGGGCGGCATATTCCCTCCTCCCTCCCTCTGGGTGCCACATCCTGTCCCGTCCATGCCTGTGGCTTCTGCTGAGTGTCTTTCCCCCGTGACCTCAGCGGTGCCAGTCCTTGCCGGGTGGCACTGGCTCTTGGGCTCTCCCCCTCCCTCCTCCCTGGACCCTCCAGACCGGGTGGGTGGGCGCCCTCCTTCCCAGCTGGCTGGGTGGTTCAGTCCCCGCCCCCCAACTTCCTCCTGGAGCCTGACCACTAGAGGGGAGGTGGCCGTGCTGGCAGGACCGTGGGCCGACAGGGGAGTCATTAGAGGCCCCTTGACTGGATGCCAGCCAGAGCCCTGATTCCAGGGTCTCCAGTGGGGGGGTGGGGGCGTGCCAGGGACAGCCCGAGGCAGGCCAGAGGCAGAGGCTATGGTGCCAGGCAGGACAGGGTTGAAGGGGTGTCCGTCTACCAGCACAGAGTGGAGGCGCAGGTCCGCAGGCGCAGTCCAGGCATGCAGAACAGGGCTCCCAGGCTGGGGGGGGCCTGGCCCGCACTCAGCTCCTCCTGCATGGCTGACAGCAAGACCTGCAGGGGTGGGGTGGGGGCGCCCAGTCAGCACTGGGAGCCCTGCGCCAGCCCTCATCCCCCTGACCCTCCTCCTTGGAGGCTGTGTGGGGGCAGGGACAGGGTCTGAGGGTTGAGTTCACCTCGGTGGTCAGCGCATCCTCCACCTCCCTCTTCCCGTTGATGGCGGCCACCCTCCGCAGCTCCCGCAGGCCCCGCTCTAGTCTGCCTGTGATGAGAAGCCATCGGGCAGACTCTGCCAGCCACCTGCAGGGGGTCGTGGGGGACATGGGAGGGGGCACTGCCTGTGGCTCCCAGGGCCACAGCCTCACCTCACAGCCTCTGTCTCCTTCCGTCCCCGGGGGTGGTATCACTGGGGCCCACAGGCCCCAGGATCAGGGAGGCCACGCCATTTGACACCCTCCTCTCCCTATAGGCCCTTTCTGTCTTTTTCCTTCTCCCTCTCGGATTGTGGTGGAGAGACCCTGTCCCTCCCCACCAACCTGGTGGCCTTTCCCTTGCCTCACCTGGTAACCAGGCCTGGAGGAACCCGTGTGCCGTAAGGACCCCCCAGTGGTTACAGGCCAGCAGACCTGTGAGATCCCCCCCGCCCCGCCAGGGTCCCCTCCTGTCCTGGGCCTCCCTGCTGTCACACACAGCTTTCTTGCTGGCTCCTCCCCCAGGGGCCCCTCCTTGCAAACAACTTCATGCCCAGCCAGGGGCTCAGGCCTGGGGCAGGGTCTTTGGTCCTGATGTCACCAGGCCCCTCCACCTGCCCCCAGGCAGCCACCAATTCCTGTCACCCTCCAGTAAGCCTTGCATCTGACCCCTCCCCACTGCCCTTGCCTCACTTTTGACCCTGTTGCCCATGCCAGGACATTAGCGAACCCGACACATCCCAGGTCCCCCTCCTCACGCCAGGACCCAGCCCCTAACACTAACCTCACCCCTACAGCCCTCAACAGCAGCCCAGACTGCTTGTACCGGCCCAGCCCACTGAGTCCCCTGTCATGTCCACCACTTTCCACTGGCTCCTGCCTCTGGGCTCTGCTCAGGCAGGCCCCCCCCAGGCAGGCCTCCCTTTCTCCCAGGAGCAGCAGCCAGGGGTGGGGCCGCCTGCTCCAAGTGTACGGGGCCCTGAGGTCCTCCAGGGTTGGCAGAACCAGGGAGAGAAGGGGGACTCAAGTCACACGTTAGAGATAGAGTTGACAAGACCCAGTGACCTGCTGAACTTGAGGTGGGGGGACAGGGAGGGATGGGAAAGAGGTGTCATGGTGACCCTGACTCTGGGACCTGGTGGGTGGGGGCTGCTATCCCTGCTACAGAAGTCTTTGAACAGAGCCAGTGTGGGGGTGTGATGCTAAGACCCTGTCACAGAGATGTCACACAGCGGGTGGCAAACGGGAGGCTAGAGGCCAGGGAAGAAGCAGGACCCATGAAGGAATTCAGGGTCTGCAGCAAGTGGAGGGAGTCAGAGCTGGGGGCCCCCAGTTGGGTGGCCTGGGAGAAAGCACTGGCACAGGAGCACCCCCCTCACCGCTGTAGGGGCCATGAGCCGTGTGAGGCCAGCATCAGCCTCAGACAGCCAGGAGGGTTGCCCTGGACTCCACATCATTGACATTCACCCTTCGCCCTCCACCCTCCCGCCTCCACTCTGCTAGTACGGGGCTTAGCCCGCAGAAGGCCACCTGTCAGGCAGCACCATCTCCGAGCCAGCGCACCAGGTGTGGTTGTCTCCTACTCTGGAGAGTGACTGCGAGTTAGGTGCTTGAGGCTCTGTTGTAAGAGCTTTCGGCTCCATCCCATTGGGCTTGGAGAGGTGTGTGAGTCAGCCCTCCTTCCAGTGCAGGAGCCCCGTCCTCCCCTGGGCTTCTGCTGGCCTTCCCTCTGCAGTGACCACAATGGCCATGCAACTAAGTTGCTGGGTGTGTAGGTCAATGAGCCAGGCTCAGCTCTGCCCTAAAGGGCATCCAACCATCCACCCATCCATCCACCCATCCATCCCCTCCACCCACCCATCCACTCACTAGTTTATCATCCATCCATCTATCTGTCTGTCTGTCTATCCATTCATCCATCCATCCAGGAGGCCATCCAACAAATATTTACTCTGCACCTACTCTGTCTCAGGAGCTCAGCAAGAGCCATGCCGGGTTTATTTCAGGGCAGCGCAAGGGCTCCCTGACCTCTCACACACGAGAGCCCAGTGTGGGTGCTGGGAGTCCCCTCTGACCACTGGGACTCCATCCCTGTTCTTTAGTAACAGGGTCGGTATGTAAGGCTGCCCCGGTTTGTGTGTGTGCGTCTGCGCGCTGTATCTTTGCATCTTACCCCACACATGCCAAGGCAAGCAGGGACTCAAGATAGAAAAGGACCAAGAGGTGATGGGAAGGACGGGCTGGCAGAAGGATGAGTAGAGGAGGAAGAGCAGGGAGGAGCAGGGAGGGGCAGGGAGGGGAGTGGCGCCACCGGCACTTGGGTGAGCATCAGCGGAGCCAGGCCCCTGGGCCTCCTGTCTGGCTGTGCTCCCGGCCTCCTGCACCCCCAGCCCTCTGCTCGCGGGGTGGAGTGGGGGCAGGTCTCTGAGGAGGGGGGATGGCACCCACCAGGAGTACAGGAAGCAGAGGAAGAAGGGGACGGAGACCGCCAGCTGCAGCAGGGCCCAGTCCCGCACGCCGTAGGCCACGGCGCCCATCAGGACCTGGCCGAAGCTGAAGCCCAGGGCGTTCAAGGTCATCATCAAGGCTCGGGCGTGCGCCGACGTCCACTCCATCACTGCAAGAAGACCGCCAGGGTCAGCGGGGAGCCTGAGCCAGCCTTCCCTGCAGGGCCCGGGTCAGGGGACCTACAGAGCGTGCTGGTGTTCATCATGACGCCTGCCACGCCGAAGGCCGCCAGGAAGCGGAGCAGGCAGTACACGGGGAAGGTGGGTGCGAAGGCGGCGGCCGTGCCCGACACAGCCATCTGGAGGTAGTTCCAGGTCAGCACCAGCCTGCGCCCGAACCTGCGGGCACACAGACACACAGGTGGCTGGATCCGCGGCGCCCCATAGCACTAGCCACGGGGCTCTGGACGCCCTTGGGTTTGCCTGTCGGGCATAGGCGGAAGGGACCTTAGTTATCCACCCACAGAAGGCTTGGCGCACGGACAGAGCCCCCAAAGTCCAGGCAGCTCTAAGGCGTGCTGGGCACAGAGGACCCCCCTGCCAGCGGGAGCAGCACCGGAAGGCAGGCTCGGGGCTCAGCGGATTTCAGCAGTGAATGCGGGATCAGACAGATGACCCTCTCCAACCCCAGAGATTTGGGGAAGCCATGGCCCAGAGTGAGTTTGAGGCTTGCCCAACACCAGAGCCAGGAGGTGTCAGGAGCGAGACCCATGCAGATGTTGTGGCTGGCAGCGGGGCTCTGTGGGAGCATGGGGGGCAGGGGGCGAGGGAAGGGGTTTTTGCCAGAGCCGGGGCCACTCACCTGTCGGAGGTGTGGCCACACACGGCAGCTCCCACCAGGATTCCTGACAGGTAGATGGACTGGGCCATGGGCTTCAGGGCGTAGGAGTCACACACCAGGTCCCACTGGTGAGAGAGTGGGAGCTGAGCCCAGAAGGGAGGGGGCAGAGGCGCTGGGTGGGAAGCCCCGTGTGAGCTAGGTGGGGGAGGGTGGCCTGCGGACCTCTAGGGTGGTAGGGCTGGGCTGTCACCCTGTTGTCCTCTGGTCCAGCGTCAAGCCCTCTCTAGACTCGTTTGCTCTCCCCTGCTGCACCCATTCTGCAGGGCGACCCTGAGCTGGGGCCTTGTCCCCACTCTCCCAGTCTTCTCTGGTTCTACAAAGAGCCCCCTTCCCCCTTGCTGGCTTGGGCTGCCCCTCCCTCTTGCCCAGATTTGACTGGACTCTGGGGGTCACCTGCCCCCTGACACAGGCGGTGGGGAGAGCTCCCTGAGTCACGGCTAATCAGGTCCGGCCCGACTCTCGGCACCATCCACTCTTCCACAAGCCCAAGTCCCCTGCTGACTCCCCAGACTTCCCCTCTCCTGTAGGGCAGGAGATGTGCTGGAAGAGGGGCTGGAAGCACACCTGTGGTGAGTGAGGACGTCGGTCCCTCCCAGGACTGGGCCATTCTGAGTCCAGTCAAATATGAGCTCTGACCTTGGCTTCTCAAGTGCCGGGACTCGGGGAAGGTGTCAGGAGAGGCTCTTACCTTGGCCACGATGGTGGAGGTGAAGGTGCTTTGGTCATAGACCCAGCCGTCCACGCACGGCTCCGTGGCAGCCTCGCTCCAGTTGGTGGCCGTGGCGTTGGGGTCCAGGAGCTGCCACTGTGGTTGGCGGAAGCGGCGACACTGGTGGGGTTCATGGTTGGGGCCCGGTGGGATAGAAATGGTCAGGAGGTCCTTGGGGCCCAGGGCCCCAGGGACATTGGCCTGGGCAGTGCTGTTGTCCAGGAGGGGCACCCAGCAGCGGTGGTTGGGCATGGCGGCCGAGAAGTTCTCCAGCATGCTCTGAGTGGTCAGCCACACGATGGGGACCACCAGAGCCACCATCTGGAGAACCTGGAACCTGCCTAGGCCACCCACTTGGTCTAGGAGCTCAGAAAATGCCATGGAGCCCACTTGAGGGGACCAGTGGAGTACCCACCTCACAGAAGCTGGCCCAGGGCCAAGGAGCCGATGCAGAGGGGATATTTCCCCCACAGCAGCACCTGCTTCATCAGCCAAGAAGTCTGGAGCATGGCAGAGGCCACCCCCCTTGCTGACTCTGGGTCAGGGCTCTTCGGAAGTCTGTCCAGCAACGGTCACTCGTGGTGGCTCTGACTGGGACCAGGAGCCATGAGGTGTGATCCTGAAGCCACCAGCATCCTTCCAGAGATGGAGCTGGCCCCAAACCTCCAGGAGAAGCTGGTTATAGGAAGCGGGGAACATGGAGTCTGAAAGCACCCAGACTGGAATTAAACTGTGACCAGGTGACATTTACGGAACAAGGGTCAGAAATCAGTCAAAGTTTAACCCAGCTCTGAGGGAGGCCCAGGGGCAGAGCACAGTGGTTCCTGCCTGGCGGGGAGGCCTGGCCAGGGGCACCTGATCTCTGACAGGTGTAGGGGAAGCTTTGGCAGAGCTGCTGCTGTCCCCCAGCATCCCTGCCCGCCTCACAGTGGGAACTATCCAGGCCCCATGCAGAGAGCTACTGGCTGGGGACCTTACTGATCCTGGGACTGGTGTGAGCCAGGAGTGACATCTGTGGGCTTCGAGGACTTCAGCTTGTGTGTGTGTGTGTGGGGGGGGCTGGGCCCAAGTCAGCCACCTGCACCCCTATCTCCCCCATGTGGCCCTGCCCTCCCCCGCCCTCTACCCTCCCCTCTGTTGTCTGCTGCCACTGATGGCCATGCTCCCTTTGCTGTCCCTCGCTCTGAGCCCTTCATAGGGCTCTGTGGTGTCAGCAGATGTGTGTGCGTGATGTGTGGCAGCTGGAGGAGGGGCAAGGGAGCAATCATGGCGACCCAGCCATTTCTTCTCCTGTGCTTTGGGGTATGAGGCCGCCTATTTCAGGAGTAACTCCCTTCCTACGGCTTTCTGTCTTGCCCACCCTCCCTCTGCCCGTCCATACAGCACACCAGGTACAACCTCTTTGCCTTCCTGGCCTCTGTGCCCCAACTCCCCCCATCACTTCCCCAGTGTCCCTTGGGCCGGCTTAATGGGCTCCCATCCTTGCTCCTCTCCTTGCCGATGCTCCCAGCCTGGGATGCTAACCCTGGGCTCAGCTTTGGGCCACATCCTACAGACACTACAGGTGCCTCCTCCTCCAGGGGGCTCTGCTGGCTTATTCTTGCTGCCCTCCTGGGCTCTAAGTCAGGAGTGGAGCCCCATCTTTGCACTGGCCTGCACCCTTCTATCACTGTCCGACTGGTCCCATTTCCAGCCAGGTCCTAGAGGGCAGGGACACTTCCATAGGGTGTCTTTGGGATCAGCATGGATTTGGACAGCAGGTGCAGGCCTGCTGGTTTTAACAGCAACTTCTCTTTTTTTTCCGGAGGATAAAATCAACGTACACACCTTCTGGAAATTTCAGAAAATATGGAAAGGTACAAAGAAAACAAAGATCAGTCCTAAACTCAGCACCCAGTGATCGCCACTGTTGACACTTGGGAGTAAATACTTCAGGAGCCTGCTCTGGTCATTGGCACACTCAGCTTCTTCATTCGAGGCTGCAAACCAAGCTCAACCTCTCCTCTTGTAAAACCCAAACAAAAAGCCTCTGAGTTTAACTAGCGATTCTAACCTGTTCACAATTATTGGAATTACTGTCATGTGTGGACTTCTGGTATGTTTTCGTCTTTGCCGTATTTTCCCTTTACATCTTGGTTTCCTTGTTCCTATTGTCTACTGAACCCACTGCACTTTCTTGCTCTATTTTTCTTCTGTCTTGGTTTGGCGATGGCCCATGGCATTTCTGTTAGCCTTCTATGGGAGCATACCCTCCCAGAGCTATTTTATGCCCCCTCCTCTTCCGTCCTCTCTCAGAAGATGTCCTTTCTCCTTATTTCACTAAGGAAATAGAAGTCATCAGAAGTCAACAGTCTCATTCTCTGACCTGCCTCTGGGCACCCAATTCTGCCTTTTTTCCTACCACCTTGATGGCCCATGTGCTTCCCTCCTCAGGGTCCCTTCACCGTGTGCCCTGTGGCCCACCTCTCCACCTGCTCCAGCCTCCTTGGCTTCTGTCTTCCCCTCCCTACTGGATAGTTCCCACCAATGTACACATATGCCAGTTTCTGGGGTGCCTGGCTGGCTCAGCTGGAAGAGCGTTTGACTCTTGATTTTGGGGTCATGAGTTCGAGCCCCACGTTGGGGGTAAAGTTTACTTTAAAAAATAAATTAAATTAATTTAATTTTTTAAAAAAGCCCAAATATGTCATTTCCCCCCCAATCCTCAGGAAAGTCCCTTCCCTTTTTATGCCTCTCTTCAGCACCCACCTCTTTTCCTGTTACCATTTCTAGACAATTCCACAAAAGAATTACCAGCCTTCGCCTCCAATTTCTCTTCCCGTTCATTTTTGGGATAGCTTCCCATCGCGTTTTTGTCCGTGTCACACCCCAGCCCCCAGTGACCTCACTGCTGCTGTATTTGGTGACTTTTTCAGGGCTCCCCTTACTCGAGTCAGCACAGCTTCTGGCCCGTCTCCCTCTGGACAGTGCTTCCCAGGCCAACACCTTCTGAACCTGCTTCTGTCTCCTTCGCTGGTTCCTTGTCTTCCCTGCACAGTCCCAGTCCTTGGTCTTCTCTATTGTTGGCACAATTCACATCTTCGAGGATCTCTCCTTGCAAGGTTCTGCTTTAATCCAACCGCCTAAGCTTGGGGGTCTGCTGGAAGAACTTTCTAGGACCCAGGCAGAGCCACTCCTGTGTGGGGGCACTGTGTCAGCAGGTGGGGGTGCTGGGAAAACTGGCGGAAGCTGGCAGAAGGGTGAGAATTCTTCTTTTTGCTCTTTTTTAAAAATTTAAATTCAATGAATTAACATATAATGTATTATTGGTTTCAGAGGTAGTGGTCAGTGACCCATCAGTTTAACTGGAGTCAGTGACCCATCAGTTACCCATCAGTGTAACACCCAGTGCTCATTACATCACGTGCCCTCCTTAATGCCCGTCACCCAGTCCCCCGTCCCCTCACCCCCCTCCCTTCCAGCAACCCTCCGTTTGTCTCCTATGATTAAGAGTCTCTTATGGTTTGTCTCCTTCTCTGGTTTTGTCCTGTTTTATTTCTTCCTCTCTTCCCCTATGATCCTGTTTTGTTTCTTAAATTCCACATATGAGTGAGATCATGTAATAGCCTTTCTCTGACTGACTTGTTTCACTTAGTATAACACCCTCTAGTTCTATCCACGTCATTGTAAATGGCAAGATTTCATTTTCTGATGACTGAGATATATTCCATTGTCTACACATACAGACCACATCTTTATCCATTCATCTGTTGATGGACATCCGGACTCTTTCCATAGTTTGGCTATTGTGGACATTACTGTTATCGACATTGGGGTGCTGGTGCAAAGGGTGGGAATTCTTACCAGAGTCAGCTCTCCCGGATCTCTGTGGAGCCCTGTTGAAAAAGAAGGTACAATTTCACACTGTCCCTTCCTTCCCAAATCCACACTCTTGTGAATTCAGGTTCCGGTTGGCTGTCGATCTTTTCTCTCCCGTGGACAGCTATAGCCTCCTTGTCTCCGGTTTCATGTCCTGAGAACTTGCTTGACTTCCTGTCTAGAAGGGGGTGCAAGTTATCAGTCCTTGCATATGCAGCCATCAGGTTGGGGTCCCCCAAATATGGCCAGACAGAAGCTTGGGTTGCACGCCATTTGCAGCTGGGGCCGTCCGGCCTGCTGCCAGCTCTCCGGGGATTAATCTCGGTCCTCATTCTTTCAGCCGTCTTTGGGGGTGGCTCCGGATCTTGGGAGGGTCCTATCTTTTGCACTGTCTCTGGGGACACCTCTTGCATCCCTGGAGTCCTTCGGTACTGCCTGGAGTCTTTTCTCTCTGTTCCCACTGCAACTTCACAAGATACTTGAAGGGATTAAACCGTAGCCGGTCAGAAGTTGATCACAGTGGAAGCTGATATTCAGAGCGGGATAGGAAATTTTTTTTTTAAGATTTTATTTATTTGACAGAGAGAGATCACAAGTAGGCAGAGAGGCAGGCAGAGAGAGGGGGGAAGCAGGCTCCCTGCCGAGCAGAGAGCCCGATGCGGGGCTCAATCCCAGGACCCTGAGATCATGACCTGATCCAAAGGCAGAGGCTTAACCCACTGAGCCACCCAGGCACCCCAAGGGATAGGAAATTTTTGAAAGAACTTCTTCCCTAAGCAAAAATGAAACTGTGTAGCCAGAGAGAAAGAAGCCCTTCCAAAGACAGACAGTTCTAAATTTAGAGCACAGGAATTTCTGATTTCCGTCCCAGCTCAGGATCTTCTCCCTGATGAGAAGAAGCAAATTGAATATAATGTAGCTGGACGGGGGTGTGATCCCCTGGATATGGTGAGGACTGAAGGGCATTTTGAGTCCTGGACTGGTGAGCTCACCTAGGGAGCAACCTTTCCCCGCAGAGATGAGGTCTGAGATGGAGCCCCTGGTCTCTAGATTTAGACGTCCGGAAGAGGAGGAGCCTGCAAAAGCGAGTGGTTTCGGTTACGATGGAGGGGGAAGAGAGGGACGAGGAGCACAGGGTGGGGCAGGTGGGCCGAAGACGGAGGGGAGATCACGTCGTAGAAAGGCGTTGCGTCCCCTGCCCAGAACCAACCTCTGAGAGCATCAGGTGTTCCCAGGAGCTCGCGTCCGGCCCCGAAAATGGGCACAGACACCGTGTTCGTCAACATGGGGATTTTTTGGGACCTGGGGATGCACCGTGGACATCTTTCTGGTTGGATCGTGCAGCAGGGTTTTTTGTGATTCCTCCCAACCCCCGATGTCCTGTGGTGACAGCAGCTGCCTCTGGTCCCAGGCCAGGCAGGAGAAAGGGCAGGCAGGAGCACTTACTGTCAGTGACTCAGCAAATTCCCCAGGCAGCTAGCAGGGCCGGCGGAATCCAGGCAGGTGGCTGGAGGAGGCGGTGGCCAGAGCCAGCTGGGGTTGCTTCTGCCTCCAGGGTCCCCAGATCTCGGGCCACAGTGTGAAGGTGGCATTAGAATCTCTGCTCTCCTTCCGCCATCCCGCCGCCCCACCTTCCCTCATCTCCATGGGCTGGATTCTTTAAGACAGGATGACTATCCTGGACAGCACTCTGGGTCGGTCCCTTTGACGGTGTCAGCCGGCCTCCAGCTTGTCATCCCTGTGCAAAGCCTTCGATGACACCCCAGTGCTTCAGAGGCAAGACCAAGCGGCCTGGAGCCTCCTTCTGGCCCCCAGGGCACCCTCAGAGCCTTCACTGTGC